AAAAAAAAAAAAAAAAACCTCGCTCCAGTCTGACCCCACACCTGCCAGGTGTATGTTGTGGTGGGGCCAGCCTGCAACCCACTGCCCGGCCTCAGATGCCCCCTCTTGCTTCACCTTCCAGGCTTCAAGAGCTCTACTATGAGATCGTGAACGTGCTGGCCCTGATGCTCGAGGACCTACCCGAGGATGCCTCTGACGTGTTAGACACCTTTGATTAGAAGTCCCTCCAAAGCCACCACAACCCCATTAAAACACAGCTTTTTAGAGCTGGCCTCTGCGGGCTTGCTATGATGTCAGGGGGCGGGGGGGGCTTCCCTGCCTGTGGGAACTGGGGGGTGCCTATGAAATCTGATTCCCTGGGACCCCACCAAGGGGAAGACCCCACCCAGGGAAGGCAGGGGAAGAGGGAAGCTCAGACTCCACATGACCAGGGGTTATGATGGTACCAAGGCTCCCCAGATCTGCCCCTGAGGACCCAGCCGGCTCCTGAGGAAGCTGTTGGAGGGCCTCAAGCTGAGAATGGTTCCCAGCACCCATTGCAAGCTGGGGACTCACGCCTGTCATCCTAGCCACTCAGGAGGCTGAGATCTGAGGATCGTGGTTCAAAGCCAGCCTGGGCAGAAAAGTCCAGGAGACTCTGATCGCCACGGAACCAGCAGAAAACCAGAGGTGGAGCTGAGGGTACTAGCCTTGAGCAAAAAAAATAAAACAAACGCAGAGACAGCACCCAGCCCCGAAACCCAAGCCCCAGGCCCACGGAGACGGGGCGGGGGGGGGAGGGGGGAAGGGAGGAGAACGACTCTGGGATGTGATCCGTGTGAGCACCCCACACCTGGCAGAGTCTCAGCCCTCCGCCCACCCACTCCCTTTGCAAGTCTGGTCTGATTTCCCATAGGCCCTGTATTGAAGTCTGGAGCTGCCGCATCAGCCCCTGCTTCACACCCTCTACTTCCTGAGCCTAAAACCCTTCACTTCAACAGTAGCTTTACCTGCATCCTTCCTGGACAAATGTCTCCCAGAAGTACCAAGGTCCTGGCACCCCTCTGACCCAGCCAAATAGAGGTAATCGAAGATGCCAGGAGTTCCAGGTTTGCTGGTACCCTTGCCAGCAAACAAGGGGGAGAGGGGAAGCTTTGGGGGCCAGGTTGGTTGGTGACCGCAGCCCATGTCTGTGTTCTAGAGCTTGGGCAAAGCTGATACTGTCAACAGCTTACACTGGGTGTGCCCTGGTAACTCAGGTAAACTCTGCATTACTGCTCTGGGCATTCTGGAGCCACCAACGATTTAAAAATGTGTCCTGCCGGGTGCCAGTGGCTCACGCCTGTCATCCTAGCTACTCAGGAGGCTGAGATCTGAGGATCGAGATTCAAAGCCAGCCTGGGCAGGAAAGTCCATGAGACTCTTGTCTGCTGTGGCTCGAGTGGTAGAGTGCTCACCTTGAGCTGAATTGCTCAGAGACAGCGTGCAGGCCCAGAGTTCAAACCCCATGACTGACAAAAAAAAAAAGATATCCTAAAAATTTGTCCTTGGGGGCAGTAAGGCATAAAGTGCTCAAGTTTTAGAGTTAGAAGCCCTGAGTTCTTTGACAAGTGTCTAGTTCTTGGAAATCTCACCTATTTCCTTGGGAGGAAAAAAATAGGATGTTAAATCTAAGCTAGAGCCGGGCACTGGTGGCTCACACCTGTCATCCTGGCTACTCAGGAGGCTGAGATCTGAGGATCACAGTTCGAAGCCAGCCCGGGCAGAAAAATCCGTGAAACTCTGATCTCCAGTAAACCACTCAGGAAAAGCTGGAAGTGGAGCTGTGGCTGTGAGCAGAGATGATTGAGAAAGATCTCCAGATAGAGCTGGTTCAGAAGGGGGCAAGGGCCGATCAGACTGGGTGCCGGGCTGGAGGCAGCCTTGGCCTAGACCACAGGGACTTCTGAGTACAATGGCACGCATCTGGAAGGGCACAAGAAGGCTTTCAGAGAGCAGGGAGGGGGGCGGGGTGACGGGCACAGGGCTGGCCTGGCGCTGCTGGCAGAGTCTTATTTGGCAAAGAGTCCCAAAGCAGCCTTTCTGTTTGGCTCTCTGGGGCCCCAGAGCAAACACTGGCAGATTGGAATTCCCACTTGGGCTCTCACCAACTCAAACAGGCTGGGCCCAGACCTTCTATTGATTGGCTCAGGGGCAGAGTAGCTCTGCCTGCCCCAGCCTGGCTGTGGGAAGGCAGCTCCCCCTCCTCCCAGCCCCGCCCTTGGGAGCCAGCAGGGCTGTCCCCCCCCCCCACAGGGAGTGGCTTGGTCTCCAGCCTGCCAGCTTGGGGTTTAGGGTGTGTGGGAGGGGAGCAGCGGTAGCAGGACACCCGCAGGACCTGGGTCTGGATCCCCACATGTCCAAGTCCAGGTCTCTCCAGGAAGACCAGGAATCCAAGGCTGGACATGTATTTATTTACTTATTTTTAACGACTGGTTGATTTCACCACCAAGCAGTGACTGTGAATATGTGGGTTGGTTAGTATTTGTGTGTGTGTATGTATATGTGCGTGCGCACGCGTGTTGGTCCTGAGACTCGAACTCAGGGCTTGGATGCTGTCCCTGAGCGTCTTTTTTTTCTTTTTATCCTCCTCAAGGCTATCGCTCAACCGCTTGAGCAGACAGCTTTACTTGCAGCTTTTTGGTGGTTAATTGGAAATAAGAGTCTCACAGACTGCCTGGTTTTGAACCAGGATCCTCAACTCTCAGCCTCTTGAGTAGCTAGGATGACACTGGTGCTCGGCTGGAGCATATGTTTGAGAATTTTCTAGAAACTCAATACTGGGAGACACTGGGGCCTGTGTCCCTTGCTATCTTCAGATGTAGGGGAGACAGGATGTTCTGGAAACCAGTCTGGTTTCAACACAGCAGATGTTGCTGCTCTAGGAGCATCTCTATTCCTTTTCATTGTTGTTGTTTGTTTGTTTTTTGATGCCGGTATTGGGGCTTGAACTCAGGACCTGGATGATATCCATGAGCTCTTTTGATCAAAGCTTGTGCCCTGCCACTTGAGCCACACATCCACTTCTTACGTTTTGCTCATTAATTGGAGATGAGAATCTCATGGACTCAAACTGTGATCCTCAGATCTCAGCCTCCTGAGTAGCTAGGGGGACCCAGGCCACTAGCACTCCATCAATATTTTAACCTCGGTCCTGGGCCCCAAAAGTTCTGCTCCCTGACTTCTGTCTCTCTCTCCCGCACACCTTCATCCCAACTGTACACCATTATAGACAGACTTAGGTTTTTTAAGTAATTCTGTCAAACACGTGGCAAAACTGAGGTGCAAAGAGGAGAGATGTAATCTACCCGCGATCGCACAGCCAAGGGGAAACCAGGATCTCCCCGGGTGAGGGCATCTGGCTCTTGGTAAAACAGTCTGCCCCAAGGCAGAGCAGTCTCCCCACTTTCTAGGTGGGCAAACTGGCACGGGAGAGCGCCACTGCAGGGCAGGGGGCGTTGGAACACAGGCCACACACGCATTCTCCTCTCCTGTGCTGGCTCCCCGCAGCCTTTTATTTTTTCTCTTTCTTTCTTGTTAAAAAACGATTTCTGGAACTTTACAAATCAAGCCAGGATTCCCCTTCTGAGCAGGGGCTGGGAGGAGGGGCTCAAGAGGGGGTGTGTGTGGGGGGAAGAGGCCTTCTCCATGCTGGCCCAGGTGCTGGAGGCCTCGGGAGCCTCGGGAAAGGGACCGGTGCAGAGGACCGGCAGGAAGCCATCAGTGTGTGCCAAGAGGGTGGTGACTGGGCGTCTAATCAGGAAATTACAGCCTGGGCAGAGAGAGGGTTTGGCTTCGGCTCGCTTCTCCCCAAGCTTCAGTACCACAGCCCAAGTGGAGGCCGAGCAGGGTTGCGCATGACAGGTAGCACAGCCCGCCCGCCTCCTGCGTGCCGCCCGCCTGCTACAGGCCCCTGGAATCCCCCCCCCTTCTCTCCTTCCTTTTTTCTTTTTCTTTTTGTTGGTCATGGGCCTTGAACTCTGGGCCTGAGGGCTGTCCCTCAGCTCTTCAGCTCAAGGCGAGCGCTCTACCACATGAGCCACAACACCACTTCCTATTTTCTGGTGGTTCATTGGAGATCAGAGTCTCACGGACTTTCCTGCCCTGGCTGGCTTTGAACCGTGATCCTCAGATCTCAGCTTCCTAAGTAGCTAGGATTACAGGTATAAGCCACTGGCTCTCTCCTTCCTTCCTTCTTCTGTGCCAGTAATAAGGCTTGAACTCAAGGTACCTGGGTACCATCCCTAAGCTTTGTTGCTCAAGGCTGAGCCACAGCTCCACTTCCAGCATTTTCTGGTAGTTAATTGGAGATGAGTCTCACAGACTTTCCTGTCAGGGCTGGCTTTTGAACCGTGATCCTCAGATCTCAGCCTCCCGAGTATCTAGGATGACAGACGTGAGTCAGCACTGCCCAGCTTAGAGTAGTATTTTTTTTTTTAACCTGAGCCCTGAAAGAGCAAGTAGAAGGAAAAGATCTGGAAAGGGATGAGATGGGAAAACACACTGGTGGGGAAGGAGAAATGAATAAAACCACTTATGCAGGATTGGCAGGGCGCTGGTGGCTCACGCCTGTCATCCTAGCTACTCAGGAGGCTGAGATCTGAGGATGGAGGTTCAAAGCCAGCCCCGGGCAGGAAAGTCCATAAGACTCAATAAACCCCCAGAAAATTGGAAGTGGCGCTGTGGCTCAAGTGGTAGAATGCTTGCCTTGAACTGCAGAGCTGAGGGACAGCGCCCAGGCCCTGAGTTCAAGCCCCATGACTGACAGAAAAAATAACGGATTACCTAAATACTCACTGGATAGAAGAGTGGTTGAGTTCTTAGGGATCCGTAGCATGTGGCCATTATAAATAAGAGTTTCTTCATAAGAGGTTAGATTTTATGGAGTGAAAAAATACCTTCTTAGGGTAACGTGAGCTATGATGTCCTTGTCACGGTGAGCCTGGGTTAGGTGGCCATGCTTGTGCTGGAGGCTGCTGAGTGACCTTTACTTTTGTCCTCATGAAGGAAAGACTATTATTTTTATGATTATTATTATTTTGTAATGTGCTGGAGCTGTGGCAGGTACCCAGGGCCTCATTCAAGCTTTGGCTTTTTGCTCAAGGCCAGCGTTCTATCACTTCGAACCCTAGTGCCGATTCCAGTCATTTGGGTGATGAATTGAAAATATTAGTCTCAGAGACTTTCTTCCCCATGGCTG